ATTTTTTTTTTAGATTTACTGATTGCAATTCAGCACCACTAAAACATCTGAGTCACCAGTGACTGTCTCTGTGGCACTGCTAGACGAATGTGCAGGCAGTCAGTTTATGACAGTTGTCTCGGAGAGCAAGTAGCTCATCATTTGTTACAGTGGTAAATATATAATATGTTATAGATGTGTATTATATTTCCCCTCGTCCCTGATGGCCCAACACCCAAAATGATAAAACGTGAACGGCTGTAATACATTAGCGTCAGTCTACTGCATCACTAAAAGCAGCGCAGCAGCCTCACCTCATGGATTTGCATGTTATGTACAGAGAGTATAATACATTATTCTGGATAGGTATGATTTATGGTGTTTATTTACATATAACATGTAGTCTGGATTAACATATTTCAACTTTGGCTCTTAAAATAAATGACTTTAAAATGAAATTGTAATATACCAGCAATGTAGAAAAATAAGTCGTATTCACTGTATTGACATGAGGAAAATGGTTTTTATCTAGCACCTATTGCAACCATGTTAATGTATACTATAATTTACCACAGCAGACGTATGGGCACCACAGAATATACTATAACTCAAAAATGTCTTACTACCTATGAACTGCTTCTCTCACAGGAAATACATTTCATGGGCAACAAAAGGACATTTGATAAACTATGAATTTAAAGGCCTTTAGATAGAAAAATAAGTATACTAGAACTTTTTTTTAAATTGTCCATTTCTAGTAATATATAAGGGGTGTATTTTTTAAATAAACTGATCTTTGAATAAGTTTATACTCTGCATATTTTATTCTGTTTGTGTGCTTTTCATTTACCTTTAACTTTTCATTTAACTTTGTACTTTGTGCTGTGTAAAAGCTATGATTGTTTATAAAGCCCATCCCTTTGCACTTTCATAAGCTGCAATAACAACAAATAATGAGAAGCTTTAATCAAGTACCTGTATGGAAATGTGATCCACTGTCTCCTGTTTTTATTGTCCTCCTACCATCGAGAAGGTCGTTCTAAACTTTTTTTTTATCTACACAAGTCAATACATCAATATTTATAAGTTTTTATTCCAAACTACATCTTTCATCACAGCTGTCTATCAATCTGTTCACAAATACCAAGAGTTTTACCTGAAGCTGAGATCGACAAATATGTTTCTGTAAGCAGTTTAACAGCTGCTTCGTCTTATGGAAACTAAATCTGAATAAATTTCTTTCATACACTGGACATAATGGAGGTTTGGAAGCTTCCTTCCACAGTACTTTGTATGGCATGCTTTTTATTTGCCCCTGAATGTTATATTAAAAAGTCTGATTTTGATATTTTGAACCCTAATTCTCACGGCATCATGTATTTGTTTGCTTCATTGTTTTCTACACTTTATTCAATCATTTTTACACATGGTCTGTCTTTTATACGTCTCTCCTAAAACAGAGATTGTGCCGTCGATTACAGATACCCGTTCAAATAAACAATTTCCTTTGTCAAATGGCATCTATCATCTTCAAAAGTTTGTCCTCCAAACTTTCAAAAGAAATAAATTCATGTTTTACATTTACAGCATCACTGAACGTCTGTGTGCTTTTGCAATTCACGGTGGTCAATAATTTAATTTGCATCCTGAAATAATTTCGAAATCATTCTGTCAGTAACATATAATCCAACCAGAGCCTTAAATAAATAACAATCATGCTCCTGAGGAAATTAAATTGTGTTCTTGAATTGTACTCTTTGAAAATAACTGTTTGCCATCTTTGTGTTTTTAGCCACGTCACAATACATCAGATCGACTCTGACTCAGCCGTGACTTCACAGATGCATACATGAATAATGGCTAATTTGCACTTTAATACATGACCAGCTTGTCTTTGTAAAGTAACCCAGGGGTTTCATTAATGACTGTAAACAAGAACCGCATCTATCAGCTCCATCACTGGACCTTATCATCCACAACTATCGATCACCGTGTCAACAGCCAGGGTAGAGAGCATCCGTCTGTGTTGTCGGGTTAGCCTGTGTAGCCATCCTGTCCCATTCTGTCTGTATTTACTGTCGGTGTCATATTGAACACGATTTAAATGACCTCATGATTGATCACTCTGTGTGTTAGGAATGACTGTTTGTGAGTGCTTTGTTAATTTATGTAAAGTAATGGGAAAAAAGTGTGTGTATAGGTGTGTTAAATCAAGACTTGTCTATATGGAACCTTTGTATTTCCCCCTTGTTTGGCCATCAAATCAAATTCTCTTTCACTTATCCTCCACGCAGTAACCTGGTAATTTCTCAGCATCTTGCCAACACAGCAAAAAAATCAATGCAATGCAGGACACTTTGATTCGCTTGGGGTATGTTTACAATATAACTGATATTAGAAGAATAAAATTAATTGTGCTTCTGATGAAATTGTACCCCCTCCTGCCTCAGAAGCCCCAAATGTTACCTAAAAGTTAAGTAATTGACCTAGCTATTTACGCCACCCTGGCAGCAGAGAGCTCTGAGTGTATTTATAGTGAGAGCACTGTCGGGACAGCATGAATTATTAATGGGTCCTGATGCAGATTTATCTGTGACCTCTAGGCCACCTGGGTGCGAACACACACACACTCGCACATAAATACACACACATTCACATACTAAATCAGTTTGTCTTTGTGGACCAAACCTGTGGCTCCTGTTATGGTTTTCCAGGGAAATTATGACAGATGACAATGTGTGCAGTCCAGTAACCCTCAGCAACCCCCGCTGTAGCCATTAGCAGGCCTTCGGTTGGTTTATCGGTTCATAAGGGATGTCTTTCGCCCACTTGGGTTGGTCCTCAGGGATAAATTATTTGAAGCTCTGAAGCATTCAGCAAGGTACAGCACATACTTACAGTACATACAGTAGGCCTAAACTACATACACACACATACGTACTACATATGTCAATAAGAGAACAGTCTGGTTTTTATGCTTCTTACTAGCTTCTGTGTAGACTTTCAACCTACTGGCATAAAGGTGAAGTTTCCCCCAGAAACTGGATTCAAATCAGTTGAGCGTTATCTCCCTTTTGCTGGAAAAGTCATAATCAAAAAACTTGTAAACTGATCCTTGGCCTCATGTGTCTGCTCCCTCTGTCCTGTTTCCTGGCTCAGAGGCGGTACTTTCTCAGCAGGTCGGCCTGCCACATGTACTTCCTCTCGGGGAACCTCTCCGGGATCTTGATCTTGCGGAAGTCTTGAATGCACTTTTCCAGCTCCTCCTCGACCGTCAGCTTCTCTTTCGCCGGCCTTTTCTTGCAGGTGCTGGTGTCACGGGAGCTCGCCGTGAGTGTGCGCAGCAAGTCACTCTTCCGTCGTTGTTCGCCCTGCTGGAGCATAGCAATGGGGCCCTTTTTCAGCGGCCTGTCCAGGGTTTGGACGTTGGCGTGGGGGTGTGACTGGCGGCTGACCGGGCCGCAGATGACTGTTCCCTGGGGAGAGCTGGCTTCTGACTGGCTCTCGGAGCTGGAGGTGGATAGCTCGTTGAAGGAGGTGCCGCTCTCGCCCTCGCCATCACCTTTGTGGTTCTTGCAGCAGCAGTCACATGGAGGGGAGGACCAACGTGATGGACCACCTGGAAAGAGACAGAACCAGAGAAAGAGCTTACATTAGAGTCTATGCAGAGCTATTTTTTTCCACCTTTCATTTCTTTCTGGACAGACAATCATGAGGAGAAAAACGAGACGGTGGCACAAAGAGAGCCACAAATTAGTCAGACAGGAGAAGAAAGCCAAAGTAAGAAGCAGGGAAGACAGACAAAGAAGGAAAGTCAGCAAATGCCAAATGGCTATCACCTAGAACAAAGTAAAGTGACATCAGGGACACCTGGCTTGCTTCCAGCCTAATCAAGGAAGTGAGCTGGCTGACTCTGTGACAAGCCTACATTGTTCAGAAGACTACCCTCATAGATCCATGCTGTCACATGAAACAAGTGGAGGAGCTAAAACCGTTTGCAAACACACAACAATGGTCCCTATTTGCATGCTAGAGATATATTTACAGTTTAACAATGAAGGCAGCGGTACAGTATTTCGGATTTAATGAAAAAGGAGCCGCTACAGTACAAACGGTATACCTCTGAACTCTTAGATTAACTCTTGAGTCTTTGTGATGGCCACACAGTGGAATCTGTCACATGATGTCTGTGGCCAAAAAAGACTTTTTCCCATTGACTTACATGGCGAAAGAGACATTTGTAACTAAGTGAAAAAATGTAGTTAATGTGTTGCAGCACTCCCAAAATGAAACACTTCTCACCATCAGAATTTGATCCATTCAGTCCGATAGCATTTGGAAAGTCTAGAAGAGTCACAAAATTGAAGCAATTCATCCCCATTGAAGTTTGTGGAGCATAACACTGAGTAAAGTATTTGGCTCAGCCGGCGGAAGTCTCTAGTGCGCCCGCTCTTTGGGCCACACAGTACGAAAGCAGTGCCAATCATCCAGGTAAATATTTTTGCTGCATGTTTTGGGCTTCATGCACCACTGAGCACTTTCATAGGAATGAACAGGGCCCTGCCTTCACTGCTTTATCCAGTTCTCTCTGCACATCAGTATAAAAATACTGTATGTGCAGCTTTATTTCTCTGAAGGCTGCTGTCCTGTTCAGCAGCCAACTTATTCATCTGTAGCTGCAAGAACATTACTAGGGCTGGGTATTGTTTGAAAGACAACAATAGCAGCACCAATACCTATACCCTTAAAGCGATACCAGTACTTCATTTGATACCTTTTTTTTCTACCTTATTCGATACCTATCATCTGAACAGAAGCATTCATTTGCATGAAATACCACCAGACACCACAAGCGTGTACTACAGCCATACTTTTGAATGTTTCGGTGGCATCTTAGCATGCTGTCCATCAGATACACCCCATTTAACTTTTCCATACCACAGATTGAATGGGTTATAGCTACTGTGGTAGTGGGCCAATTACACGTCACATTAAATCCATGAATGCTTGCATTGATTTGTTGTGAGCAAATCCTTACACAGATGTTTTTGTTCTAGGTCTGGGTATGAAAAGGATCCAATGCGGGTATCATTTGACTGAAGAAGTTGCAGTACTACTTGGTACTGGGTTATTTCAAGTGGTATCTTAAACTGCAGATATCCTGCCCTAAACATTAAAAATTCATGCTTAGAATTGAAGTGGTACAGGTCAGAGGAGAGTTGCCATTGAACTATTGTGCTTTCAATCATATGATCATCAGACAGGACCTACCACAACTGTTTTCACCCACCCTGGAGCTTACAGTGAGCAGGATTGTATTTCAAAAAAAGTTGCAAAGTATCTCAGTTTTGATAAGGTTGAGGCAGCTGCCCAGAAGTTGTGGTCTGGACCAATAACAAGACAAAAGCAGTGATCCGCAATCATAGCTGAAAGGAATCAATTGCCCAGCCTAACCTCTGTGTGAGTGTACAGCAAAGGGCTGAAAGACTCACAGGAACCAGGGCAGCACCACACCTCTCACTGCAGGAAGAGGCCATTTATTTTTCATGCTAACCTCCTGAATAATTGAAGGGGTATCTGTTGCTGATGGACTCCACTATGTTTAGTGAGGAGAGAGATCAAAACCCTTGAGGCAAACACACACGTGCAACGCCCCCACCCATTGTGGTTTTGAGCCCATTCCTCGCTGTCGACACGACCACACACGCAAGCGCAGGCTCCAGCTTGTGATGCATCCTCTACTCGTCAAGTTCAATTGTACCACTGATTCTTTTTATGTTCTGCTGAGCATATCACTTCAAACGAGATTGTACTAGGCTATAAATAACGCTGCTTAAAATAAATAACCCCTCGCTTTTACGTTTGTCCTCAGCATCGTATTTGGCTTGTTTATAGAGAGGCAGTAGAACAGAAATCAATTCATCCAACAAATATTTGTTCCTTCGAGTACCACTCATTACCAGCTACCACATATCGTAACTCTATATGAGTATAAATAGAAGAAATATTTCTTGGATGGCTTTGACACTTACACCAAGTGTTATTCTAAACTGCAAGAGGACAAACATTCAGTGCAGAACTAAATATACGTGCATGCTACACACACACACACACACACTGCTGCTAGCTGTATGTGAAATAAACATCACCCATCAAAGGCAGTGACAGAAGTGGAACGCAACACCCTTTGTCACCCACAGCAGCTCTGGATGTCTTTAATTACCGCCGGCATTTACAGCTTTCACATGCGCAAACACACAACGACAGAGAATGCACTGTCATGCTGTCATAATGTGATTTGAAGGTACACACACAATTAGAAGTGTACCAGCCTCAGATAAAACGACGCGTTCGTTATACAGTTGCAGGATAGAGGACGTAACCCCATGATTGGTGCAATTATGTCTCTTCCCAACCTTTGTTTAGGGACACGAGTTAATTTGTGTCACTCTGAGTGAATAGCTAGCCCTGTGATCGATGAGATGCAGACTCGTAATTGGTGTTTTGAAAAATGGCCCCAGACTCTGGTGAATTGTTAAGTCTGCCAGTAGCCAGTCTGGCTGTCCAAATATATTTAACGCGATGAGACGGCTGAAGCTGCTGTAACAAACGTCTTAAAGAACCTTGTGTGTGTTTATGTGGTGTTGCATCTGTGTATTTGTTGTATGACACTTTTATTAAACTTCGCAATTATATCCACCTCCATGTAGCTCCTTTTACAGGAAGTGCTGACAGTGACATGCTGCTTTAATTTACAGGTATTGTGGATATCTATTAGCCTCGCTAATGCAAAGACCACCAGGGAGGGATCTTATTTATCATTTTGACCAGTTGGATTTCCTGTCAAAGCTTTGGCTTCATAACAAATTGTCTAGCAAATAATTCAATTGAGAACACCACTTACAGGGACTTTAAAATCCAAGCACTGATAAATGAGATTTGTCAAAACAAGTCATTGTGTAGTGTCTCTACCCTCATCAGTGATACTATAATTACATTCCCAAAAGGATATATCAGTGCAAAGTGTTGATGCTTCATAGCACATCGAGTCATGTTAGTGGTAAAAACCAATTTCCCCTGCTAATTGAAGGGGGAAAAAATGTGTAAATGTGAGGACCCACATTTTCTCATTGGTATTTACACTGTATGGTTATAATATTCTTGCTAATTGAGGTGAAAATTAAACCACTGCTTATGGCATCACACTTCTGTGTGACTCATTTCTATCTTTTTTCTACTGCTTCTGCCGGCAGCATAACTCAAGTTACCCAAAGCTACGGTTGGTAACTTTTATTAAAATAACTTTGTGTGATATCTGCTGAAACTGTCACTATATTCTGAAAAAGGTACATGAGACAGTCTGGGGAAAAATCATTTCACACCTCCTCTTCCTACTGCTTCAAATGGCATTTGCTAGAATCAGACCACGGCACACAGAACGCAGCTACTCAAAGCTGCGGATTCTCTAAGGCAGCCTTCAATCATGCCAATCACTGTAGGGGTGTGGTCAGACTTTTAAAACTAAGCAGCCCTGATTGAAAATAAACCAAGACTGTGTTTCTGCATTGCCTGTTTTTCACGTCAGATGTTTTCAGAAACATATTTTAGTGTACTGTTTACCTGTAAAATGAGAATGTTTGTGACCCAGCCACCGTGGTGGAAACAGTTACATAAAGCACCAAGTACCGCCCACTGGCCAGACCAACTTTCTCATTTTACAGCTAAACAGAACACTGAACTATGTCTCTGAAATCATCTGAGGTGAGAAATAGGCAACGCAGTAACAGAATATTGATTCAAATTCGATCAGCGTGGCCTAGTCTGACAGTTTGATCACAGTCAGGAGCAGTGATTAACATGATTGACAGCTGCATTAGAGACTCCTCAGCTCTGATTGGTTGTTTTGGTTCACTTGCCGTAAGGCCATTAGAAGCACTACAAGGCAATAGAGTGGGCAGATGAACAGGATTTTTTTTTTTTAAACAGATTATCTGTCTCATTTAGTGCTGTGTGAATATAGTGACGGTTTCAGCAAATATGACAAAAGTTTTTTCTGCAGTAAGTCCACATATAGCCTAACTTTATAAAATATACCATACCACACCACTAATTTGGTTTTTCAATATACAATGCCCTATTTTCCACAGTTGGTCAGATTAAGGGTCAAAATATTTGCCACAAACGTCATTTTTCAGACGCCCCACTCCAATTTTGCCTAACCATAGATTAATGATGCATTTTGGCAGTGTGCTCTGGAGCTTCAACATTTACACTGATGGAGGTGCCATAATTAAAGGTCAAGGTTTCGGAGTCTAAAGGCTATAGCTGCCACACAAACTGTTTGATTTTAATTATACTGGGGAGGAATGATGCATCTTGTTACTGAGCAGCCCCAAGGATGCCTGCATCCATCACTTTAGGCGGACAATTTTAATTGAGGCTTGCTTCTTCTTCTACACCTGAGGTCATTTAAACTGCAGGAACTGAGATAAATTTCCCTGCATTATACCTGAGCAGTCCAATCACTGGGGTTATATCTTTGTACAGCTTGTGAAAAAAAAAAGCCTACACGATTTTTAGAAAAGGACCAATTTCCTGCCTGCTTGTCGTCATAGACGA